TTTTTGGATCCCCGCCTGCAACCATTTGGAGGCGTCTGAGAAGGAGGCGAAGCCGTACAAGTTGCCAACCACCGCTGTGACGTGCCTCTTGTCCCTGGAGTTGTGTGAAGAAGACTTCCCCGTTTCATGTTGTAGTTTACCGGTCACCTTCAAGTGCGAGAGCTGTTCCTCAAGCGTCTTGATGTGGCCCCAAATTGCCGCGTCGTCGCTCCGAGGGGTAACTGGGGTGCCGGATTGCTCGGTGGTCTGGTTCTCCAGGTTTGTGAGACGAATGGTGATGTCTTCGAGGTTCTCCTCCACCTCCTCGATCCTGGTGTCGATGGCCCCGCTCATCTCCTCGAGGCGACGTTCGAGGTTGGTGATGGTGCGGCGAATGGGTTGCACCTCTTTGCGGATCGCGCTCGCGATCTGTTCCAAGGTAGGTGGAAATAGATGCTGATCGTGCTGCTCCTGGTGTGTGGGCTCCCCTGCAGGTGGAAATGCATCCGGCGGGGTCGTGGGAGTCGGAGTCGCAAGCGCGTGTACCTCGGGGCCGTCGTCGATGCCGTCGATGCCGTCCATTTCGCTAAGTGGACTAAATAAGCGCCTGCGCAAAATACTCTCCCTCCCAACTCCAACTGGCGTACCTGGAGCCCGAGTGTGTGCGCGAGGAGGGCCAGCTTCCGAAGACATTTCTGGTGCCAGTGGGGTAATGCGCGGAATTCCGAGAAGATAAGAAGAACAATCGAATCAAGGTGATGAGTGAGAAATCCCACCAGCCCTCTGGGCGTCGGTGGTTTAGAGCGTTTCCTCTTCCACCCCTCCTTCTTCCCCTTCGGGGAGGGGTTTACCCCTCCCCCTACCCCCTCCCCACTGACCTGGACAGGGGGGGCCGCGGGTAGTTAGAGCGTCCAAGATGGCCCAACACGGCTCCAAGAGGGCCTCAGGGAGCTCAAGATGACCTCCAAGATGGCTCAAGATAGCGCAAGATGCCTCAAGATGGTCCCCATGATGTTCCAAGACGCTCCAAGAGCTTCCCAAAACGGTTCCAAGTACTCACAAGAGCATCACTAGGATGCCTCCAAGAGGCCAAAATGCTTCAAAACCCTAGGGAAAATCAATGTTTTTGGTGTTCTCACTTTTTCGCTTGCGATGCACATCCGAGGCGTCAAAATGGCTCTAAGATGGCTCAAGATAGCTCCAAAAGGGGCCCAAGAAAGCCCCAAGACGGCGCCAAGAGCGGCAACGAACGCTCCAAGAACACCCCAAGAAGGGTTCAGGAGGCGATTTTAAAGGCTCTACAAGGGCGACGCTAAAAAATGCTTCCGCTTTCTTTGCCAGATCCCCTCCAACATGGCTCTACCAGCGCCTCTGAGGCCTCCAAAAGCGCTTCAAGAGCGCCCCAAACGACGCCCAAGAGGCCCCCAAGAGGCTCACAAGGTCGTCAAAGATGGGCCAAGACGGCTCCCTGAGAGCCTCGGGAAGCCCAAGACACCTTCCAAGATGGCTGACGATTGCGCGACCTGCCTCAAGATGGCTCCGACGATGTTTCAAGACGTTCCAAGACTGCTCCAAAACGATTCCAACAGGCTGGCTCAAGATATCGCAACCTGCCTCAAGATGGTTCCGAAGATGTTCCAAGACGCTCCAAGACCGTCCCAGGACGATTCCAAGTGGCCATATGAGCTCTCCAGGATCCCCTTCCCCCTCGCCTACCTATTATCCCACCAGCCCTCTGGGCGTCGGTGGTTTAGGGCGTTTCCTCTTCCACCCCTCCCTCTTCCCCTTCGGGGAGGGGTTTACCCCTCCCCCTACGCCCTCCCCACTGACCTGGACAGGAGGGGCGGGGAGCGGTCAGAGCGTCCAAAACGGCCTCGGCGAGGAAGCCAAAATCATTGATTTTACTATGGTTTTGGCCCCATTTTGGCCTTCTGAGGGGGCAGCGCTAATTAGAGCTCCCCTCTTCTTTGATCGATTTCCTCCACGATGGCCGCAAGAGGCCCCCAGGATGCCCCAAGAGGCCGCAGGATGGCCCCAAGATGGCCCCAAGAGGCCCCCCAAGAGGCCCCCAGGAGGCCCCCAAGAGACCCCCAAGAGGCCCCAAGAGACCCCCCAGAGGCACCCAAGGGGCAAAGATGGCCCCAAGAAGCGCCCAGGAGGCCCCCAAAGGCCCCAAGATGGCCCCAAGAGGCCCCAAGAGGCCCCCAGGAGGCCCCAAAGAGGATCCCGAACGGCCCACAGAGGCCCCCCCGAGGCACCCAAGACGCCGAAAAGCCCCTCAGGACGACCCTCTACTCGCCTGGGCGTCGTTTCTGGACGGGCTGGTGGGGATACGCGAAGCGTCTAGAATTGTGAGAATGGTACTCGGAGTTGGTATGGTACTTGGAATGAGACTTGGATTAATCCAGAAACCCCCCCCGCCGCCAACGGCCACCTTGAACCTTGATTACAGGTCAGCTCTAATTGTAAAGATGATCAGGGCGAGGAAGGCGAAGATGTCGACGACGACGACGACGACGACGACACAGACGAGGTGGACGAGGCAGATGATGAGGAGGATCAGAGGAGCAGGCTCCACCAAACTGCAGAGCTGCACTCAGTGATCACGTGTCTACTGCTGCGAGACTGCACAGTCCCTGCCGAGCAGCTTCGCCGTGGGCAGGCCCCTGACATTTTCACGCGACCCTGCGAGCCGAGGCCTAAGGCCCGTGCAGCCCTGCGAACACCGAACGTGTGGCCTTGGTCCCATGCGTCTTCGATGTCGCCCGCGATACGTCTGCACTGTTGGAGGCCTAGAAATTGGCACCAACACCAACACGGGGGGTTTGCCTCCACATGGAAGATGATCCTAGATTTCGGTGTTGGTGGCAATATTTCGGTCATCTTGGAAGCCAGAATATCACCACCATCACCGAGATCGGGGTCCTTTTCCCTCGGTGGAGGCGCACAACCGATGTTGGTGTTGGTGTCAACCTCTAGGCCTGCGGCACTGGTCCCTGGCATCCTGGCGGCGGGGAGCCAGGATCGAGAGGGTGCCGAGGAACTTCCAGCGCCAGAGGCCCAGGCGCGCCTCGCTGCCGCACCGCACGCGTGACGCCGGCGAGAGCAGGGACGAGGGCAGCCTGCTCCGGTCGCTGCCTGTCCGGTCGGGGCCACAGCGCGAGAAGCGGCGGCCGACAATGTGGCCAGACGGTCTGGCCACGAAGTGTCGTGGGCTGCAGGCGGAGGGCGTAGCGCGGGTGGCCATTGGATGTTGTACGCTGGCCAGTCGGGGGTCCTGCCTGGCAGGACGCCGGCGACGCGGAGCTCGAGGGCAGTCCCGCGCCCTCGCGTCCTGGCAGGGTGGCGGCGACGCCGAGCGCGGTCCCGGCTGGTATTCGGCGGCAAGTGGCACAAGGATGACCAGAGGCCTACTGCTCGCTGGAATACACGCCGTCTGCCATCTTGGGAAGCAAAACCTGCTCGAGGGCGTCTTCTTCCAGGCTCCTGGCGCCGTTGCTGCCGTCCAGGTCCCAGTCGAGTGAGGAGAGTGGACGGAGGAGCGACTACGAGGGGGACAGAGAGGAGGTGGACGAGGAAGACCAGAACAAGGACGATGAGACGCACCAGCCCTCTAGGCGTAGGTGGTCTAACGATTTCAGTATCTCCTCTCCCAAAACCTCTCTTCCCTTCGGGGAGGGGTACACTCCTCACCCCTTCCCCGAGCTTGTCCGGGTAGGTACGCGAGCGATCAGAGCGCCCAAAATGGCTCCAAGAGGGCCCTCCATGCTTCAACATGGTGCCCCAAAGGACTCAAGATAGCCGAAGATGGTTCAAGATGGTTCACGACATGCCTCCAAGAGGCCCCAAGAGGATCACAAGACGGCTCAAGTGCTCTCGGAGTCCCCTCAGGCCTTCTCCAATAGGCAATAATCATCCAGGAACCGCTAGAAATCAATGAGTTTTGCCTCCTCGCCTTTTCGCTTCGATGCGATTTTGAGGCTTCCAGATGGACCCAAGATGGCCCAAGAGAGCCCCGAGAGAAACCCAACAGGCCCTCAAGAGGGCCCCAAGACCGCCGCAAGTCCCTCCCTGCCGCACCCTGAGACGTGTCAGTAAGGCGGGCCGGGTGGTTCGCCTGAGACTTCCTCACCATTTATGATCCTGAAGCTGGGAATATGATACAGTTTCACGGATTAAGGGCGTGTCGTTTGCACAATGCAGCTCTCGCCTCTGCGTCGCGCACATTCGTCATAAAATGCTGCAAGCGTTTAACGGATGGAGGGCGGGTCGCTTCCAAACTGTGGCCTTACAAGTTTGCAAGATGTTCACACTGGAGGGCGGTCCGTTTCCAAAATGTGGCTCTCGCCTGAGCGCCGCGCACATTCGTGTTCAAATGTTGCAAGAGCTTCGTGGATGAAGTGCGGTACCTTTTTCAAAATGTTGCCCTCGCCTGAGCACCGCGCACATGCTTAGCGCCCCGCGAAGTCCTTTTTTTCTTATTTATCGCTGTATATAACTATATACCTAATGTTTCGATAAATGCCAAAAAGTTCACGGATTCCCATGGGCAACGTACCAGAAATTGTGTTTTGGAAAGGTTCAGGATTACGAGGGCGCAACAGTTACGTTGATTCGCGGTGTTGAAGTCCCAGGCACGGCGTTCTGGCACCATTCAGGATCGCCAAGACGCAACAGTCAGGTTGATCCGTGGCGTTGTAGTCCCGAGAAAAATGTTTGGGCATGCTTCAGGGTCTTCAAACGCATGTATAATGACAAGACGCCACAAGACGGGACGGCACGACAGCGAAGGGAGAGGAGGGGAGGGGAGGACAGGAGAACGAAAGAACAGGCAAGCACCCCACACCCCTGCCCTATCTCAGACCGTCCCCTTTCGACCCTCCTGCTCCCCACCCTCATCCTGCTCCTCCTGCTCCTCCTCTTCTTTCTTCTCCCCCCCCCCTCGTCATTCCTCTCCCCCTCCCTCTCCGTCTCCTCATCTCTCCTCTCATCCTCCTCCTACCCCTCTACCAATGCATTCGCCTCCGCCGACGCCTCTTCCCCCGAGCGCTCGACAGGCAAGACACGCTCGCTAGGGAAAGCCAGTCCTACACTTGCATGGCAAGCAAAGTGCAGCAGGAGGGGGTCTATATTTTGAATTGCAAATGGCCAGCATTTCTAAAGATCGGTTCATCGCAACCATAAGGCCGGTGAGTACAGCACGCAGCGCAATATTTCGCGACCCTGTGATAGCTAAGCCACAAGACGCTTCTAGGCGCTGGATTATGGGATCTTCACGAATTCTTCTGTGCCAGGCGAAGTAAGTCTGGAAAAGAGCCTGCCCCGAAAGGGGCACGCAGTGGCTGGTCCGAGCTATTATCAGAGCACTTCGCAATTCAGCGGTGGTGCACCACCTGTTGGAATGAGAGCAGCACAGGGGGAGGCTTAGCTCCGCCTGCACGAGTCGCGACAGCACGCCTGCACTGAGTTCGAGAGAAGCCGCAATGACTGTTACGATGCATCAGGCCGCGCAGCACCGGCCCATCGCTTGGGAAGCCGGAGGAAGGCATCACTGCCGAAGAACAGGTCCTGACCACAATCGCACTGGCCGCGCCTCGACGCAGAACACAAAAAAAACGAATTACTCAAGCGCCAGCGCTGCCAAAGATCTCGCGCCCGAGCTCCATGAGCTTTGTCCTGTCCCCGAGCTTCAGCACGCCCGCGTCCTTCAGCTCCTGGTGTCCGAGGAGAGGAAGCACGCTCATGGACAACCGCTCGCGCTTGAAGAGCGGCTTGAAGCGTCCAAGCTGGAGCTTGTCGAGCCTATCCAGCATCTCATCGAGCGAGGAGTGCTTGCTGAAGGTGTCGGCGGACTCCTCCTCCGCCGCCTCGCAGGCCCTCGGCAGCTCCGAGGCCTCCGTCACCTCTACTCTCTCGGGGTACTCGAACGTGACGTGCGGCAGGGCGGGCTCGTCCGCCCAGAACGACACGCGGTCCCCGAGCAGCGCAAGGCGGTCACGCAGGATGGCCTGCACCCTGCGGAAAGCCACATGTGCGGGGCCGCCTGAGATGTTGTAGCGCAAGCCCCAGTAATCGGCCGACAGGTGGCCGGCGTGGAGGCGGTAGACGGTGGTATCGCGCCCGAGCAGCTCGTTCAAGTCACGCAGCAGATCCGCCAGATCGTACGTCTCCGGGCCATCTTCCAGGTCGACGATCCACGTGGAACGATTAGCACGTCTCTCTGCGCTCCCGATCTCGAGCTTCGCGAGCGTCATGTGTGGGAATTCCCAGAACTTCTTGAAATCGACGGGGGCCCTCCGGAACTCACGGTTACAGATGTGCGCCTGCCACAGAATGTAACGCTCGCTGCACACGACGTCGCCGAAGGCGACGAACGGGCCCTCGATCTGGGAGCCCTCGTGGAAGATTATCGTGGGGTCCTCGTCTGCCCGGTCGGCAAGCTGGAAGGCCGTGGGGCACCAGACGTCCAGACCCCTGAGCTCGACCCCAGCGTCGCCCGCGGCGTCGCCGCCCGCGTCGGCGCTGGCCGCGCGGGCCTCGCCCGCGGGCTCGGCGCCCCGAGCGGAGCCCGGCGCGCTGGAGGGCGAGGAGCTGCTGCGCCCGCCACCCTCGGGCGCCCGCCCAGAGGCCGGCAGGGGCGCGTGCTCGGAGGCCGGCGGGGGCGGCGACGGCGGCGGCGGGCGGGCGGCGCCTGCCTGCAGCCACAGCAGCGACCAGGGGAGGCCGCAGGCCTCGGCCGGCGCCGCTGCGGCGCAGGATCGCCCCGGCCTGCCCTCTGCTCTGGGGCTCCCCTCGCCCTGGGTGGTCGGCCTCTCCTGGAGCGGAGCCAACGGTGGGCAGATCGAGGGGGGTGGGCACGCGGTCGCATGAGCCGGCGGCGAGCAGACCGAGGGCACTGGGCACGCGGTCTCGTGAGGCTCGTCGGTCATCTGCGCCCACGGGTTCTCCTCTCGGCTGCAGCTCAGGGGGCTCTGCAGCCCCCTGTGCTCGCGCAGGGCGTCCGGAGAAGGCGGGGCCGCTGCGCCCCCGCCGACCGAGACGTCGAGGGTCGGGGCGCCAAGGCCCAGGACAGAGGTGGTCTTCATCCGATGACGATCTTCTTCGTGGACGCATCCTGGCGCAGGGCGACAATCGGCCTCGTTCCTCGAAAGCTCGCGCGTCCGGGCGGCCTGCAGCAGGTGAGCCACCTGCTCCAGACCGGGCACAGCCTCGCGTCCCCGAAGAATCGCAGAGGCGATGGCGAGGCTGAGCTTCGCGGCCTGCAGGCGGTACTTCTTGTTCGTAGCGAACCCAAGACCAACAACTCCATTGCAAGAAGCCAGCGACACCAAGAGCCGCCCATCAGAGCTCTGCAAGTAGCTATATCTGGAGAGCGTTGCAGATTTCGACGGCCCTTCGACGCAACTATGATCATAGACCACTGAGTGGGTGTCGTGGATGACGCTCTCCATGATATGATGGGCTTGACTGCAGATGCTTCGCAGCTGCTCGCATCCAGAATGCACAATGCAAAGGACCGAGCCACACGATGCCAGACTGTGCGCTGCAGAACTTGGAAGCCACAGGACCATTCTCTCCCATCGTCACCGTCATCGTGAGCGAGGGGAACGCAGCTGAAAGCCCAGATGATTCGTGAGCAGGTGAAGCGAAAAGGTTCGAGCCTTGAGCCAAAATGGCTATGGTGAGCTGTTGCGACAGTTCTCGGGAGGCAACCATTTATGTTGCATCCTCGGGGGACCTTGTCTGTCCCGTCGCGGCCCTGTCCGCGTCGAATCCGTGTCGAATCCATGTCGGACGCGTCGGATCCGTGTCGAATCCGTGTCGAATCCGCGTCGAATCCACGCCAAATCCGCGTCGAGTCCGCATCGAGCACACGTCGGGCCCCCAAAAAGACACAATTGTTTGGGACAGGCGAGGTCCTCCGAAGATGCAACAGAACACCACGAAGGCCACCAAAGTCTTATATCTGCGGGCATGCAGCGTAAAGGGAGCCTGGGAGTCGAGCTGGTCGAGCGCCCCAGAACGGCCCCCAGAACGGCCCCCAGAACGGTCCTGAGTATCCCCTCCGCCCTCCCCTCCCCATTTCCTCCCTCCCACCCCACCCACCCACTCCCCTCCAGAGATGGCCCATGATGGCTCCCAAGGGAGCCCCCAAGATGCCCAAATCCTTCCCAAACCAGAAGAGAATCAAATGTGTTGTTGCCTTCTCACCTTCTCGCTTCTGATGGCCTTCCGAGGCCTCAAGATGGCTCCACGATGGCCCAAGAGGGCGCCAAGAGGGGCCCAAGAGGGGCCCAAAAACGGCCGCAAGAGCGCCCAAGAGCGCCCCCAAGAGCGCTCCAACAGGGCGAGGCCGTGTTAGAGGTCTAAAGGTGGGGGCCCTAATTGAGTACCCCCCTTCTTTGATCGAACTCTTCCAAGATGGCTCCCAAAAGGTTTCCAGGGCTCCCAAGAAAGCCCCAAGAGAGCCCCTAGAGGCCCCCCAAAGGCCTCCAAGAGGACCCCAAGAGGACCCCAAGCGGCCTCAAGAGGCCCCCAAGAAGCTCTCAGCGACACCCAAGACACCCCAAGAGGCCCCCGAGACCGCCAAGAGGCCCCCAAGACGCCCCCATAGCCCTCCAAGGAAGCGCCCAAGAGACATCCCAACAGACACCGTGAGGCATCCAAGAGGCCTCTGGACTTCTCCTCCTGCTCCTCCTCTTTTTCATCGGCCTATTCCTTTTCCTTCTCCCTCATCCTCCTCCTCCCCCTCCTCCTCCTCCTCCTCCTCCACCTCCTCCTCCTCCACCTCCTCCTCATCCTCCTCTTCCTCCGCCTCCGCCTCCGCCTCCACCTCCGCCTCATCCTCCTCCTCCACCTCCTCGTCCTCCTCGTCCTCCTCGTCCTCCTCGTCCTCCTCGTCCTCCTCCTCCTCCTCCTCCTCTTCCTCCTCCTCCTCCTACTCCTCCTCCTCCTCCTCCTTCTCCTCCTCCCCTTCGGAAGACAACAGCTGCCCCGTCTCCTGCTCCCACATTTCCCTGATCACCTCAACTCTCCACGGCATCGTTTCTGGATGGGCTGGTGGGGTTGCTTTTTGTTCGCGAGCGCGCAGGGATGCCAGGCGCCGTCAAGAAACGCGGCTGGGGACATTTTTTGTCGCGGCCGCAAGCGAAGAGCGCAGGCGGCGAGCAGGGTGTCCGGGCCGACGGGCAAGCCTAATTAGCGACTGGACGCGACACAAGCCGGCCGGGCCAGCTCACAAGGCGGCAGCTGGGGCAGCAGGGCGAGGGCTGGCTGGCTGATCTGGAACATCCACGGAAGATCGAGCAACGTACAGCCCAGAGCAAAATGCCAGGGAATTCGGTGTTACGCGCTGCGGCGTCAGACCACACAGGTGGAGGTGCAAGCGGGAGCAGGTGGGTGACCTGCACGTGCGATCCTCTCAAACATCGTGGCGGGGAAAGGCGACGTATACGATGGTCGAGTCGCCAGGGGGGCGACAAGGGCCGAGACCGTGACGACGGCGTAGACCACCCAGGTAAGCTGAGCAAGGGCCGTGTCGACGGCGTAGATCTGCCTGATCGGCTGGGACGGAGCCAGGATGGAACCCTGCGTACGACGGAAGGCTGAACCACTCCGAGGCGACCGCCAATATCCAGTGGGGCCACCAGTCCCGAGGAAGGGCAACGAGCCGGCCCTGAGGAGAATCCCGTGGGCCCGGCAGAACGCGGCAGGGGACACGCGAAGCGCGGACAATAGGGAACGAAGGAATTGAGGTGGCCAAAACGAACCTCGAGTAAAGGCAAGTTCCCTAGGGAGGGAATTGGGCTTGCCCAAGTTAATCTATTACAATTCGTGGCGTGCGCCCGTGGATACCCAAATTGAATTAACGTGTCGTGTACAGCTTAACAAAGGAAGCGGATTCCGGACCAGATTCTGGTTCAAATTCGACCCAAGTCCGACAAAGAGGATTCCTGAATTCTCGGCCCCGTCCTTCCTGCAGACAGACCCAAAATTTCAACTTCGCACGCAAACATTCTAAAATCCTTGGCTCGGCGTATGATTCCCGGGAGCCGCTCGCCACGGGAACCCGCCCTCCCCCGTGGCCCCGACCTGGAAATGGCGTCTTCTGCTTCCTGGGAGCCGCCCGCCACGGGGACCCACCCTGCCCCGCGGCCGCAGCCCGAGAACGGCGGCCTTCGATTCCTCGGCGCCGCTCGCCTGAGGGATCGGCACTCCTCGCGGTCCCAGCCGGGGGA